CGCAAGAAAAATAAATAACTCTTTTTTTTTTTTTACACTAACTCACGCAAATCCTACAAAAACTCAAAATCAAACAAACTAATATTTTTTTTTCTTTTGCGTACGTGATGTAGGGAAGCGTACGAGTGGGACGATATTAATTAGATCTCAATCTCAATAACATCAAAGCACGATATAATTCATATTTTATTCATAAACAACCATCTCATAACAAAGTAGAAGAGCCCTTTAAATAAGGCTCCTAACCCTAGAGCTTAACTTGTCCAACAAGACAAGATCTCTTATTAATATTAAACAATAATATTAAATCCTAGCTTATTCTCAAAGATACCTATTAGATATAATAATTTTAATAATAATAATAATAATAATAATAATAATAATAATAATAATAATAATAATAATAATAATAATAATAATAATACTAATCTACACCATTCTCCTCCGGTTCGGAAGGCTTTGCCCTCGAAGCCGATGCGCTTTCGTGGTCGGCGTGTGGTGTCGAACTCATGGTAGGAAACACCCATCGTTTCCCCCAGTCGAACACGAAGGTTGAATGCCTCACTCCCATGGTATCACCCCCTTGAAAGTCATGGAAACACATATATGCAGCAGCCACACACATATTTTTTAAGTCACCGTGGGAACCAAAACACAACATCTGTTTGCAAGGTCGAAACAAATTCACGTAGAAGAAAAGCTCGGGCCTCCGCAATAGAATAACTACCAATCGAACACCAAATTCGTCAAACACCTGAGTTTTGATGCCTGAAACATGATTGAATTCCTCCAGGCCCGAAGGCTCCTTATCGAAAATCAGCGGATCGGCGTAGAGATTGTCCACTTCACCGGTAAGACGCTCATTCACCTCCTCGGGTTCTTCATCAAACACCGGTGGACAATCGTACAATGGCCCGTCAACTTGCATTTCGTCGAATTCTGGGATGTCAACGCGAAACGGGCCCTCCCATTTACCATATTCGCGATTAAGTCCCCAATCGTGTCGGGCACGATATCCGCCAACGAAGGTTGCCTCCTCGCGCCAGCCCCTATCGCTGCGTTGATCGTCGCCGTCCACGAAGACCGGGCCCCGTCGCCACATGTCACAGCTGCCGTATGCAGCGAACGGGTCAGCCTCGACGTGCAGAGGATGCCACTCGCCGAAGGGATTCACCTCTGAGATGGTATCCTCGCCGTCTTCGTCGCCGGACGATGGTTGTGGAGATCTCCGGCGGGGCGCCCCGCCTGGACCACGGACTCCACGTCCTCCATGAAATCCCCCGCGAACGCCCCGGTTGCTGGCGTCACGGTTCGTTTGCAAATCCTCATCCACGTTGTTGATCGTAAGACGCACTTTTTCGATCCCTGTCAAAAGATCCTCAACCCGACAATCCAATTGATTGATCTGGCAGCCAAAGCCCGTGGCTTGTCGACCCGGATACTCAATGGTGGCGTCACGCCCGTCGATGTCATCCTTCTGCGATGGCATCTTGAATCGTGCTGACTTCTGATACCAACTGATGTAGGGAAAGCGTACGAATGGGAAGGACAAAACGAGTAAACGAGATACTCTCTCGTAAAACACGTAAAACTCACAAAACTCAATCAATTCTTATTTCATATTCAACTGAATAAAACAATAGATGGGGGAGCCCTTTAAATAAGACTCCTAAACATTATTCTTAACTCTCGAGTTGAATTTGAGAATGAATTAAAATTGTTCGTGTTTTTTGGGAGAGTATCCCAAGTTCGAGAGAGTATCTCGTTTTATCCTTCCCATTCGTACGTTTTCCCTACATCAGTTGGTATCAGAAGTCAGCACGATTCAAGATGCCGCCGCAGAAGGACGACATCGATGGGCGTGACACCACCATTGAGTATCCGGGTCGACAAGCCACGGGCTTCGGCTGCCAGATCAATCAATTGGATTGTCGGGTTGAGGATCGTTTAACGGGGATCAAAAAAGTGCGTCTTACGATCAACAACGTGGATGAGGATTTGCAAACGAACCGTGACGCCGACAACCGGGGCGTTCGCGGGTGATTTCACGGAGGACGTGGAGGCCGTGGTCCAGGCGGGGCGCCTCGCCGAAGATCTCCACAACCATCGTCCGGCGACGAAGACGGCGAGGATACCATCTCGGAGCTGAATCCCTTCGGCGAGTGGCATCCTCCGCACGTCGAGGCTGACCCCTTCGCTGCATACGGCGGCCGTGACATGTGGCGACGGGGCCCGGTCTTCGTGGACGGCGACGATCAATGCAGCGATAGGGGCTGGCGCGAGGAGGCAGCCTTCGTTGGCGGATATCGTGCCCGACACGATTGGGGACTTAATCGCGAATATGGTAAATGGGAGGGCCCGTTTCGCGTTGACATCCCAGAATTCGACGAAGTGCAAGTTGACGGGCCATTGTACGATGGTCCACCGGTGTTTGATGAAGAACCCGAGGAGGTGAATGAGCGTCTTACCGGTGAAGTGGACAATCTCTACGCCGATCCGCTGATTTTCGATAAGGAGCCTTTGGGCCTAGAGGAATTTAATCATGTTTCGGGCATCAAAACTCAGGTGTTGAACGAATTTGGTGTTCGATTGGTAGTTATTCTATTGTGCAGGCCCGAGCTTTTCTTCTACGTGAATTTGTTGCGACCTTGCAAACAGATGTTGTGTTTTGGTTCCCACGGTGACTTCAAAAATATGTGTGTGGCTGCTGCATATATGTGTTTCCATGACTTTCAAGGGGGTGATACCATGGGAGTGAGGCATTCAACCTTCGTGTTCGACCGGGGGAAATGACGGGTGTTTTCTACCATGAGTTCGACACCACACGCCGGCCACGAAAGCGCATCGGCTTCGAGGGCGAAGCCTTCCGAACCGAAGGAGAATGGTGTAGATTAGTATTTAGTATTATTATTATTATTATTATTATTATTTTTTTTTTATTATTATTATTATTATTATTATTATTATTTTTATTTATTTTTTTTTTTACAAGAAATTGGAGG